TCGTTGTCTCAGAACCATAACTCGTTTGGGTTGGTGTCAGCGAATCCGTAACGAGGCGGTTAGAAAGCGTGTTTTCGGTTGTGTAACGGGTACTTCCATTGAAGAATGTGTCCAGCACCAGAAGCTGCGTTGGTTGGGACATGTTTTACGCATGCCGAATCATCGTTTACCGAAAAGAGTACTATTTTCTATACCCAATTCGGAGTAGCGTGAACAGAGAGGTGGCCAACCCATGACCTGGCAGAGGAGTATGAAGGAGATCACGAAACGCTTGGGTGCTGTCGGTGCTACTCGCCTTCCAGGATGGGGACCGCGTGATCCTCACTGTGCCTGGTTGGAGACACTACAAGATATGGCTGCCAACCGATGTCAGTGGCGTTCTAGTTGTCAGTTTCTATCCAGATTGCCTGAGTGAATGTCTGGAAGTGTAGGCACCTCGGAATGATTGTGTTAAGCTAGCACTAAGTCCCTCCCCCACCCACCTTTATTCTTTTCTTTACAATAAGGCTTTCAAATATGTCATGGTTGTACGGCAGTGAAGCATCGGCGTTGAACACTGATGTCATGCTGTCGTTGATGATGATGATGATGATGATGATGATGATGCATCATACCATCTTCCGGTATGCGCCTAGCACCTTCAAAGTGCAAGCTCATGCTTCAGGGCGTACAGTCGCTGAACATACCCGTCACTGGAAGTTGTGGAGAATCTTACATACGTCCATAATTGTAATACGTCTGATGGAAACGTGTCTGATGAAGCCAGTTCACAAATCTCGAACGCCAAAATCACATTTGCTGATTTGCGTCACTTGTGGCGTTAAAAAGGCATACCACTGGGTCTCAAAGTTCGCATGTACCAGGCTATAATAAGGGCTTCGTTGTTGTACGTCTGTGAAACATAGCCTCTGGGGACAGATGATGTGAGGCGTTTTCAGCTTTTTGAACACCGATGGCTTAGAAGGCTTGCTAGTTTTGGATAGCTCCAGTGGATTAAAAATGACGTGATTATAAAACGGGTATTTGTTTGTGCAGACAGTACTTCACTCACGGAAAACATCCAGCACCATTGACTACAATGTCTCTAGGCATGCTGAAACACCTTCTACCAAGACGGGTGTTCTCTTCCTTCAGAATGGCGAAAAAACGAGGAGGCTAATGCATGGCTTGGCAGAAGGACATGAAAGGGATTACGGAGAATTTGGTTGTTCTTGGTGTTGTGCGCCTTCCTCGATGGGGTACACGTGAATCCGTCTGCGCTTGGCTGGAAAAAAGCTGTGAGAAATGGCGGCCGATGAGTGAGTGACGTTCGCGCTGTCAGTTTCTTTCCAGGTTGTCTCTTTGAGTGGTTGGAGATGTAGGCACCTCAGAATGCTTGACATTGGCCAGCACTAGGTCCTACTCCCCACTCACTTTTTCCTGTCTTTCTAGGGCCTTAAATACAATTAGATGAACTTTATAGTTGTACACCATTGAAATATCAGTGTTAGCACTAATGTTACTGTCTCTGATTATGATGACGAAAACCGCGTAGATGTTATACAGTCTTTATACCTCCAGAAGTTCGTTCGCCGATGATATGAGTAGATAGGGGTGGACAGCTACACGTTTGAAGTGATGGCTGATATAAATGATGTGTGAATACAGGGGTCTCAGTGGACTTTCCACTTGGGAGGTCAGGAGGAGGAAGCAACGAATTGAAGGCGACAGCTTTAAGTGCTTAGGGTAGGGTTCACCCTGTTTATGCAATGCCCGCGTAGTGTTATCTTGACTCCCGAGATTTAACCATGAAGTATAAAGTTTGGTTCTGTCGTTTACCGATCTAGCTTGTTTTCTGCCAGTCAGCCCCTAAGACGCCCGAAGGTGCCATAATCTAAGACATAGCATGGAATTTCATTGAATGTGATGTGAGTTATGCCTCAGGTGTTCGAATTCTCCTTTACGACACGTCATCTTTGCGATACCAAATACTATCTGCGAGGCTGTAGGCAATTGACGGTGAACTGCTGAGTGCTGTTCAGCTCGGTTCGGTTTCTTCGGCTCACAAACCGTGCATTGAGGTGCGATTCTTCCAGCCACTTGCTGGAGGTGGTGATCCAGATAGTTCATTGAGGTCGAATAATTCTGTTTGTCCGCTGTGTCAGGGATTGAGGGCTACGCAGGTATGGTGATAGGCTTGACACTACATCGCTATTTGCAGTGTGATTCATCCATATCTGTCGGCGTCACAAACCGATGGTTTGTTTCGTCCCGCGTCCCCATCTGGCGTTTACTGACGCCACTGAATGGGCTGGTAAGGACTTTCATGATTCGTTGCCAAATCATGGACTGCCCCTGGGTCGTCTCCATCCGACTCAAGGCTGGGCAAAGAAGGTTATATGAGGCAAACCGTCCTCTGGAATATATGGCCTAATCAGCGTAGCCTGTGGAATGTGACCAGCCGATTTATAAAAAAATGAATTTTCCCGAAACCATTAGGTTACTTCAATATTACTCGCGCCGGACTTCTGACAGACAGCGAGCCTTCGAAGGTCCTCCACACGCAGCGATCACCTCTCTATCCATAAAGTAGGGCAGTTCGGACCGCGTCATTGTACAGTTTACCCTTAAAAGTTGACACCACAAACGTCGTAGATTAGTAAACACTATTCTTCCCAATTCGGGAAGCGATTCTTTCGCCACACCGCTTTAATTTGTGCAGTTATCCGAGTAAACAAGCTTATCTACTACATCGGTCGGTTCACCTACAAGCATGCGGTTTGAATTGGATCCCACCCAGGAGCAACTTACAAAGATGAAGCGTATACCGAACTGTGCTACAGGATCATTTAGTTTATTTAAGGTGGTTTGCAAAAGGGTCCTGTTGCGAGTCGAGTAGTTCCAGGACGAGATTAGAAGGAAGACAGAATAGAAGGGCGTAATATTCGCTTTAATCATCTAAGAACGGTAAAACATGAGCTTATAATATAGAGTGAGAATCACGAGCTAATGGTCTATGGAAAGGTATGGTTTATATAGTCATGACATTCTCCTCGCCTTGGAATAAGTGTGTACTTTGCGGAGAAAGAGTGCAATAGTTACATGGAGTCGTTTACGCCTCTCTGTTGCGTAGATTATATGGGTTAGTGCGCTGTTGTCGGATAAGAATGTCCAGGTGATTTCCTGGATCTGCACTAGAGTGGGATGATAAGGCATCGTTAATAGGCAAGAGTTCAGTTTCTGAGCAACCACAGTTTACTGATGGTGTTGCGTCACGCTCCCCTTGTTCGGCGGTGTGTTGGTTCCAGTTCTGTGTCGGATATCTTGTTGTTGCTTTTAGGAGCCAAGCGGCGTAAAGCTACGATTTCGTGTTTACCATCCGGACGACCTATGTTGGCGTACTGTGGATCATAAGAGACGAGTTCCACTTCCTCTACCAGAGGGTCATATCTAAATTGCGCTTTAAAAGGATCGGCCCATGGACAGTAAGCCAAGTAGGTAGGGACATACCGTTGGCTGATCGTCGTGTGAACGGCATGAAACGTTTGTGTGGGGTACAGTTGATACAAGTACAAAACAGGGATATGATGCAGTGGAGAGCATCAAGGAGGACAACCTCCCAATGTGTGACAGGCAAGTCGCGTGATTTTAGAGCCAGGCAGATGGTCTTCCAAAGGGTACCATTAAGTCGTTCAACCTGACCATTGCACTTTGGATTATATGCAGCGATGTGACTACTGGCAACGCCTTTATCGAACAAAAATTGTTTGAGTTCAGTTGAAACCGCGATCTGAGTGAATAGAAGCAGGCATACCAAACAGTGAAAACAGTTGACTCAAACAACGAATCACAGCGAAAGAGGACTATCGGCGCAAGGGTAAGCAAAACGGAATCGACAATACTCGTCAATGATCGTTAGGACGTACTCGCTACGAGTGTTTGAGGAAAATAGGCCTTTTAAGTCGATACTAAGGCGCTCAAACGGTTTTCTGGCTTTGATAAGCTGGCCACGAAAAGTGTCACGAAATTTTGGTTTGAGTTCGGAGCATGTGGAACAGTTGGACACCACACATCGGATATCGCTGACTGAAAAAGGAAGGTTCTCAGAACGAACAAGATGTGCAAATCTCGTGACCCCGGGATGATATAATATGTTGTGAAGCTTTTTTTCATAAAGGAAACTACTTACAAGGTTGCTGAAAACTCTTCGACAACCCACGACCGATTTCGCCCTTCTCGGGGCTCATCAGGTAGGCGCAAGGTGAAGGTATGATCGATTCAACACAGACCAGGGCGAAACCCAGCTTGGTTACCGTTAATTTGACTCCTCTAGTGACGGATCTACCTGCGCAGTATAATGTCAAGAAACATCTTGAAAGCTATAGCCTCTGGACTGTTGTCCCGTACTTTTCACACGATGTTCTTACATTCTCTTTGAACTACCGTTGAGGCTGTCCATTCAGTTGGAATTTCTATTATTCTAAACATTTTGAAGTGAGGTGGTTAGGTTGAACACAACGAACTCGCCATCTTTGAAGGCTGCAGGGTGCAAACCCTCTTGTCCGGATATTTTTTACGCCATGGCAACAAAGTTGCACCCCAGACTTCCGTCGATGACGGCGGATTGGTATCCACATCCCACTCGAGTTCAATTAGTCCCTACAGAGAGTGGCTAACGGCTAAATCTAGCCAACTTCATCATCTCTGGATTCTGAAGGTTATCTTGTTCGTCCAGCATATCAGGGCTGGTTCATGTTCCTTCCATTGTTGGTTTGATGTGAGGGTTTAATGAGCTTCCCTAGATAGACAGCCGATAGATCTTCGTCAACCTATAGCACCCAATGACCGCTTTTACCCCTTTGCCTAAGCGGAAACAGCCAGCTGGTGGAATTTTCTCAACAAAGGCTGGATGGTAATGAGTCCTTTAGGCGCCGTTCTTAGGGTTATCAAGGCAACTTCGATCGTTTCGCAAATGAAGTACATGGGAGCATTAGTAATCTTGTTTTTGTTTCTTTTTTCAGGTAAACATTTCATCTGCTCGTGATTACTCCAACATGTGGTTGATGCTAGAAATCTCTCGAGACCTTTTGCTGATCTTGAAGACCTTCATTTTGTCCTTTGCGGCAGAGTTATTCAAAAATTTGTGGCGTTTTCTGGTTCCTACGTACAAAGACCTCAGCAATGACGTGATCTTAATCACCGGTTGGTTTCTCTTTGGTATTTCATCTAAATGACTGATAGGTGCCGGTGCTGGAATCGGCCGTTTAATGTGTTTGGAGTTTGCCCAGTATTGTCCAACTCTGATCGGCCTGGATGTGAATAAAGACACCCTAAACGAAACAGCACGTGCGGTTGCAAGGCTGGGAGGTCCAGTTCTTCGTACTTATGTATGCGATCTCAGGTAATGGTTCCTTTCACAGCGCGACGCTGTAACGAGCAGATCCCGAGACGATATAAATCAAACCGTCGCACGAGTACTCCGAGAGGTTGGTCGTGTAACCATACTTGTCAACAACGCTGGCGTAGTCAGCGGCAAGCAGATTCTAGATCTGAAACCGGTGGATATCGATGACACTTTCCAAGTGAATGTTATTTCGCACATCTATGTGAGTTTTTAGTCCTCAGATACCTATGATACCTATGATAGAACGCCTTCAGTTTGCTCATATGATAGTAAGTTATCTTCTGAGGTTACTACTAGCTATGAGCATCCGACGACAGTCACACTTCTGTGGCACAAGGGATAGGACCCTTGATGAAACATGATAGTCATCAAGCGTTGACAATCGACGGATTAGAGGACGTTTGGATACGACAGCCCTCTCGGTTGGAATTTTCTCTTATGTTTCCATTCCCTCAACCTTCCAGATCGCCCCCTGTGGAAAAGCTGGTGTTGTAAATGCTTCGCCTCTCTCGATCGTTTACAACACACTTCCAATGCATCTCTAAAAGAGCACGAAGATTTGGTATCCAAATACTAACGAGACGTGTGTGAAACGCTTATTTTAGCCTCTGGTTACAATATGTGAACACTACTAAACTCCTGGGTCTTCGTAGTCTTACAGCATTGTATCGCGGGTTCAACAACACCGTTTATTTACTGTCACTTTCAGTTGATTAATACACGCTTTCTCTTGACTTCATCTCTGTTTAGATGCTTCAAGCCCTTCTACCCTCAATGATGGGTTCCGATGGAAGAGTAGGCGATGTTGTGGGTTCATCAGATTCGGTTCCACGGGGGCATATAGTCACGATCGCGTCACTAGCGTCTGTGATACCAAATCCCGGCTTGGCTGATTATTGTGCATCCAAGGCTGCCGCTCTGATGCTGTCTGACGCTTTGGAGCTGGAATTGAGGGTGGCCAACCTTGAAAAGCACATCCACGTGACGCGCGTTTGTCCCTTTTTCATCAACACACAGATGTTTGAAGGATGTAGTTCATCGTAAGCTCATTTTGTTCTTGAAATCTTTCGGTTAGGAAAACGAGATTGTAGGTCCTGTTTTGAGATGTTCGTAAAACTTGGTAATAAGCAGTGTGGTCCTTTTTTCCAGGATTTTTGCGGAAAATGTAGGGGAAAAGGCGTTGCACTTTGCCATCATAACTCATACCTCCGAATGGTCTGCTGATCTCTCTGTACTGACTGGTAGGTGGTGACACTTATCAAACTCTCGATAAATTGTAGCCACAACTTTGTGTTTGGATCGTGTGTGTTCTCAGGATTTAAAAAAAACAGAATCAATCGTTTAACAAGTTGTGCATATTGTCCAGGCGAAATACACAAGTCACCTTATCGAGAAGGAAGACGCGTTGTTTTTTGTTTTAGTTTGCTCGAAAATGTCAAGTGGATCTCTCGCAGTGTATGGCGCGAGCATCCCTGGCTACAAACCAGGACAACATAAGTACATCTAGTTGGATAAGGTTACATGATAGAGATCAAGCAGATGTGTTGAGCGCGATTGGTGATCACTTTTTCATTTAATGACATACAAAATTAGATGATTTGTTAAGCGTGTTCTAAGCCCCTAGCTAACCATACTCGGCCAACGATTCACTGTATATAATTTCTACACCCGCGCAGGTCTGGTTGGCGGTGAATGACGATCCTGATTTACTGGGTTTCTAACTCTTCTAGAGTCATCGACACGAATCATAGGCCACTGAGCAGCTGTTCGTCCCAGGTTAACTAGTTTGTGCGTGATCAGATCCATCCACTATGTTGAGGTGCAGAAAAATTTCTAATTCCAAGTGAATTAAAAGGCGTTGTCCCTCAGGAAAATACGAATTCGATGTGTTAGGCAGCCTGGAACGAATGAGAGACATGATAGACTGATGGGTTCAATACTGCCCTGTGAAGGGAGCCGACGAGACGTCCGGACGTCACATTCAAACATTCAAACCCATTAAGGTGGCGAAGTCCTGGAAGGGGAACTAGGTTAGAAGGTTGGTAGACTGTTTTTTAAGCTGGCTGCAAGTTTGGATCAATGCTTTGGTAGCCAGTCTTAGTATCTTGGCTACATTGACGGCTCTTGCGGTATATAACCACCCTTCGGTTGCTCTATTCTGAGTATCTATATTTGTGAGTTGACGAAACTGAGTTCAACGTTTTCGAATGTGGCAGATCACTTGCCGAATATGTTATCTTTGATGACAGGACAATGGGACATTCGAATAGGGAGCATCAGAGTCTCAAAAGAGTTAACTCCACGTCAGTTTACCGTAGGCAATACCAAATCTTGTGGATTACCTCCAGGGATCCTCTATTCACATGATCACACTGTGCTCATGAATCGAAACCATTTGCTATACGGCAGCGTCATTGCCGGGTGTCTATGCTCTGGCTGATGCCTGATTACTGATTGTTTGAGCCATTGCTTGAAACACCTTCCTTAATTTAATGCCTGCACAATGAGCCGCGTTTGTTTTACCAAGATTAAAGTCGAACGTACTGCACAGAAGCTACTTTGCACGCCGGACTACAACGCGGTTGCGAAGATTTATGATGACTTTTCTGTCAAAATTTGTGCAGTAGTATAGTAAGAGAATTGCGCTGGTACGCTGAGGCCTAAAGGACTTGACGAATGACGCCTGCATCTTAATGGTAACCAAGTAACTGGTTCCGATGCTCATGTTTCAATCGGCTGGTGGCTTGCACTAAGCCCCCACATGTTTGCCGATCGCCAGTGTTCATCGGGTCTACATCATCGCCGGCGGCTTGCACGCAGCACCTAATTCGGTCCCTCAGGTTGTCTGTGATTGTTCGTGTTGCTTCCAATGATTCAGATTCCGCAAACCGACAAATGTGATTCAGTTGTTAGTTATTCATAGATAAGTCTGTGGATGCGATGAATCGCTCCACCATGTGCCGCTGTGCAGAACGAGGAAATTATTCCGCGACGGGTGTTAGCACATGCTAATCGGAATGTTTTTCGCAAGCTTTGTCTAGACATGCGCACAGCCGTTTGGGGAAGTCGCTGGAAAGTTTAGACTTCAGAGTATACCATAGACAATATCACACCCGATTGTTGTGCAACTTAAGCTCATAATGTTAGTTCGTATACAATCACTGGGTTACCTCCCTGAAGGTATATTGGTGCCAGTGGGACTTGAGTATACATCCGTTATAAGGCACTCCTGTCTTCCAGTATCTGCGCATTTCTCTGAAAGAATTCGTATGGATTGCCATAGTCGCATAATGCCGCTAACCGTTGCCCAAAGCCCGATCAGATGCTCCTTTACAAAGTAGTCTGTTGCAACTAACTCATGACCGTGGTAGTAAACGTGAGGTTAGTATGTAAAACAAACGGATGAACACTTGTTAAGGA